TTTATATGAATGTTGCAAAGAGTATGTCAAGAATACAACAGTTTATTTTATTATTTTTAGTTTTCTAATCATGTATTAAAGTTATAACGCTTTGTTGCAGAGATATTTCGGAAACTCAAGTATTGACGGATAGAAGATTTGGTTATAATTTAATTACAAATTTATAATTATATACAAAAATCCTGTAAACGCTTATAAGATGGCATCCATTTCACTAAAGACATCGATTTGGTCTCTTATTCTTTCACTAATGATCTACACATTGAGCGCCAATAGTATAGGAAGTGATGGCAGTGACGGCCGCAACAAAATGTCGTTAACAATTCAGGAGCCGATGGTTTGTTTTTCAAATATTTTATATATCTTTTAATAATAGTAAACATAAATGTTTTAAATAAAGTTAGATAATGGAAATAATGTGTAATAGTATCAAGTAAATTCATTTATTTTTTTAGCAACAGAATGTGCATGATGAAACTATAGTCGTATCCGTGTTATTATAATAGAATATTAATATATGGCAAATAATATTTTGAGTAAAACTAGAATCGAGTAATTTTTTATTTTAAAAATTAAAGTTGAATTAAACATTAAATAATTGTTTATTAAAATAAGCATAATATTATTGTAATTAATATTGTTTAAATTAACATTTGGTTATTAATTAACAGGAAGATGAAGTTTTAAATGAATACAACCCACTCTCCAATCGGGCCCTATATTTGGACAAAATGGACAAATTAGGAGCCATTATAAGCCCGAAACAAAGAATTGGAGGTTTGGGTTCATTACCGGGTTATGAGAGCCACCAGAAGCGACAGATCCGTTACCATCAGTGCTATTTCAACCCAATCTCATGCTTCAGAAGAAGAAAATAATTTTATTAAAACAAATGTCTCTTTTTTTGGTTCAATTTTGTTGCCGTGTTTTGTAGTCTAAGCCCAAAAACTCTGTGTTTATCTGAAACAATAGCGCCGACACTTGTTTCTCATTTGTGTTAATTAGTATTTAATTGTTATAATCACTGAAAATTGTATTTAACAAAACATAAATTCATGTTTAAGTTTATTAATAAAATTTTTTATTTAATTTGATTATTTAGACATTTAATTTATATAACGTTTTGTCTTATCTATGTAATATAATTTGGTTTTTAAATGTTTTTTAGTTTTACAAATGCATTTAATTAATATTCAAATATTGTTATAATTATTAAGTTTGGTATAAATATATGTAAACTACGGTTATTTGATATTATCATTAGTAAGATTCTGGCGAACATTGATTATATATTTATGAAGATCTCAATTCATTGTGTTTTTAATTAAATATAATAAAAATTATAAATTTCTAAAGTATAGTACTTTAATGTGTTATTAATTTAAATAAAAAACATTTACTATTTGTCCAAAAATTTTATTAATAAAATTCTTATATAAATTAGAATTTTGATCAAATTACTGAACTATAATTTAACTATATAAATTTATAATTGCTCTTATCGTAAATATACATGTACGTAATCTTTTAAAATACATTAGTAAAATAATTTTACGATCTATTGTTAGTTAAAGTTTATTTAAATAAAGAGTCTATTTATATAATATTGAAATTATTATTATAACTTTTAATATGTGATCATGGCTAAATAACAAAAATTAAAAGCATTAGATATGAAAATGTATAGAATAACAATAGTTATTACATAATATATTACATAACATAAAATGATAACCTATATAAATTTGTCAATAGAGTGTACCATGTACAGTACATTGTAAAATTCGTAAAATGTAATTCTTGACTATGTTACTTATTAATTTATATTATATCTTATTGTCTAATAAATTATTAATTCTATATACAGGGTACATAAATAGACCCCACAAAAGTAAACTCGAATATTTCCTAAAGTATTTGATTTAAAAATTCAAATAATACAGCAAATTAATTGCCAACTCCGGAAGTTTTTGTGATGATATGGTCAATATGACTAACCCCTTGTATTTAGGTTAATGTTAAAAACACAAAATTTTAGAATTTTCTCCATAGATATAATGTTAAATTGAACTGGGTTTCAAATGAAATTCTGAAATCTAAATTTAAATCATGCATGTAATTTTTGATTTATAAAAGATTTTCCTGTCATTCTAATCATAAAATATTTTAATTTTGACATAATATCGTTATCACACAAAAATTAGCTACAGCAGAAACATTTTACTTAAAGATTATTAACGTAAGCACAAATAACTTGATATAAAGTTAATAACTTTATATTTTAGGATTTTACTTATAAATTGTTTTAATTTCAATCAAGAAATTCCACTTTTTAATGTTGATTAATTTTAATTTATAAGAGTTGGTTGTTTATTTTATAATTAACATGGTTTAAACAATATTTATAACTTAGAAATTTATAGTTTAAG